CTGCGACGACCTCCGAGCACGCTGCCCGGAAATCTGAGAGAGGGCTAACTCGGTCGTCAGCGAAGCTGCTCCTCGTCTTGTCAACCACCTTCAAAAGAACGGGTGGACTGTCAACTTAGAGAAATCGCGTTTACATCCCACCGCAAATATCACATTTTTAGGTACAACCTTCGACGGCACCACCAGACGCGGCACTACTCATGGGGCCCCAGACGTGGAGCTGTTAACCCACCCTCTGCCAACAGACAGATCACTCCAACAACTCCTGTGCCACCTCAACTGGTACCGGCATTACATCCCTCCTCTACACCTGCCTGTCATCGCAAAGTTACAGCGTCAAATAAGTGAGAAGACCCGAAAGTCCACACCTTGGACGGCAAGGGATGATGGACACCTCCGACGCCTCTTAACAGCCATCAAAAACACCTTACTTACCACTATTAATCTGAGCGAACCTTTAGTCGTCACCCTCAGATATACCGCCACCCACGTATGGGTCATGGCGCATAATGGTCGTGACGAAGTCATCTTCACCACGCATAAGACCCTGCAGGCCGCCCAAAATCGTTATGGACAATTAGCGAAGACCCTTCTTGCAGGCCAGCTTGCCAAATCACTGTCATCGGGTCACGGGACTCTTAGAGCCCCCCTTGCAACCTTGATACCTTCAATAGACCCAGAAAGGGTTGACCCACACTTCTAAGGGGAGCCCAAAACGTGGAACACGTTGGTCATTAACCATCATTATCACTGGTATTGTTGGAAACATGAAGACGCGACACTCATCCCTGATCCACCCAACGACCCCCCACCTGTCTTATACGGAACCACGGATCCTGCGTGGATTGGGTCGGAAGGAACGTCCCGGAAAGGAGGAGGCTATGGATACTATTGTAAGCCGTGCCATCATGCAGAAATATTCAACCCGATCCCAGAAGAAAACTCGCCTCAACTTTGTGAACTCCTAGGTTTTAAGGCGGCCGTGCAACACTGCCTCCATCATCACGATGACACGCTCCCCGTTCCAGTCATAGCAATTGACTCCATTTACGTTTGTAAGATTGTGACGGGCAGAGCAAGAGATGGAAAATCGATCCGTTTGGAGGGATATTAGGGAGGTGATTTCCACCTTTATGACCCCTCCTCCCGTAAAACACATGCGCTCGCACAGGCCCGACACCGACCCAGTACATACAAGTATCGATAAGTTGCTAGAAGACCCTTTGCGACACGACGTGGTACTGGCAGCCTCAACTCGAGAATCGTCCCATGAAGCAGATCTGTTCTTAATATGGCTCCACGAACAATGGGGGCACCCCGGACCCCAAGCCAGCTATCGGAGATGGAAGCTCAAAACTCAAAGATCGGGTCCGTATCCCTCCCAAGCCGATTGGAAGCGGATCACCAAGAATTGCGAGGCCTGCACGAAGGAAAAATGCCATCGTACTAATCACCATGTTGGTGCACTAAACCCAGAACACTTCTCTCCCGGGAAGACGTGGCAAGTAGATCTGTTAGGACCACTACCAGGGGCAAAACCGCCAAATAAGGGACTAGTCGTCGTCAACTTGGGGACCCGCCAATTACAAGTCATCCCTTTACGAAAAAGCAATGCTACTGCCATCTGACCGCTGCACTTGCAGCCTGGAAAATCCCACACGAAATCCAATCAGATGGGGGACCCCCATTCAATTCCAACGCGCTGGACAAATTCGCCCACCTCCATGGCGTCTCATGACACCTCCATTTGCCATACCACCCACAATCCAATGGTGTCGTGGAAAGACATATTGGCTTATATAAAGAACAACTTCTAAGGGGAGGAAGGACGTAGAAAAACTGGACTAAGCACAATCATGATGTCCTTATTTCACTGAACACTACCAAACCTCTATGGGACGAGGCGACACCCCGAAAACCCTTGCCCTGGAAACCTAAGTTCCAACCCGACGAGTCAGTGTGGGTCACGATACCACACCCTCGCCGATCCCGTCCAATAGTCCAAAAAGGAACAGTTCGTCGGTCCGAACCGTATCCAAACACTTATTCTGTTTTATTAGAAGAAAATCCCGACTGTCCCCTCATTATAGCACACCATAATTGGTTAACCCAGCGCGCCCCGCTGACGAATGTTCAAGATAACTAATACTGTTATAAGTCTTGTCTTCTACGGGTCCCTAAGTGAGGGAATCGACAACAGCGAGAGGGGAAAGAATTATTCCAGCCTAGCAGAGCATCCCCGTCCGCGTACATTATCGACCCTACACTCCGAGAAAATGAGGAGACAAGAAACTTCCTTTTAGAAAAACCCAGGCAGTACTCGGGATGATCTTCCTCGAACACCGTGCTAACTATGCTGTCAGCGTGGGCTGAGGCGACCGACTCCAAGGATGGATTAACTGTGTGTATACGTTTACCCATTTCAGTGACCAGTCCAGTGTTAAACCCCTATGTATATGCCTATAATGTTAGCGATTGGCTTCTAGCCAGGAATAGGGACAACTCCCGCAATGTAGTTGTGGATACCAGGATACACCAACAATCACTCTTACAGCACAACTACACACGGGCTCAAAATCTAACTGTCAGGAGTATGACGACTACAAGTTGCACAAAAAGTGTTGCAAGCCTCCTGGGTGACCCAGTAGAGGATTCCCCAGTTCCAATTTACTGTTCCAAAGTACCATGGGGAATCAACCCTGAGGGAGTCCGCTGGGCCAGGCCCGATAACTCCCTAGTATGGGACCCGACAAAGTCCAACCCATCGTGGTTCCTAAAACTTCCGCCTGGGCCTCTAACAAGCACTGCCCTTGACTACCGCACCTCGCTGGTTACGTGGGACGCCACCCTAGCCCTTAATATTTCTGACCCATTAAAGTGGTCCTCGTTCTTTTATCCCGTACAGAGGGCAGCTACCCTTTGTCATGACCCAAAAGGCATGATTGTGTGTGTGCTTCGGCACCAGAATTATCCCCGCCAAGTTGCAGAGCATTGCACGGGAGAGTTTCCTGTTGCAGAGGAAACCCCGGTGCAGGGACGAGTTTCCCCCCTTTTCTGCAGCTTCTTTTGCAGAGTGCATTGCTCATGTTGCAAGAGGAATGCACGGTGCAAAAGAGTTCCCGCCACCAGTATGCAAATTCGTTCCCTGTGATTGGCTAGTGTTAAATTATTCACACATGGCAGCTAACGATTGGTCTATTAGCCGTATAAGAGGCTTGAGCAGCTTCCGCCCAAGCCGAAGAGGACTCCACATCCATCTCGTGGGGACTCTGGGTACACGGCAGGGTAATAGAAACCGTGTGTGAGATCCAGAGGAGCGTGGCGGCCTGATCCACCGCCCACCTCTTCCCGTCTTCTGTTGTCTGTCTGTAACTGCAACTCAATCAAGCTTTCCAGCCTGCACCACTGCCATCTCGGTGTAAGTAAACAATCTTTAAAACTACCGATACGCGTTTGTGCCTAATTCCAGCTCGACGGCCTTCCCTCTCCAACCCAGCGTGCCCGCACATGGTGACGAGGATGGGATCAGGAGAGGGCTCGCTAAACTGGAATTAGTTAAGAGTTGTCCTTAAAAAAGTGGGAAGCGCGGCGTAGCAAGCGTCGCCCAACTGGAGATGCATATCGTTCACCCAGAGCATCCGGAGTGCTGCACCGTGGAGCCTAACAACCTCCACGAGACCTCACCAACCCTGCGTGCCCGGGCTGCTGGCCACAGCCCGCGTGCAGCACGAAAAAGGGCTCGGGTCGCTCCCGACCCGCACACCCTTAGCCAGTGGTGTCATGGATACGATCGACCGCCCAACACCACTAAATTACCCAGGGAGCTAGCTACTGACAGATGGAGGAAACAGAGTTGCGCCAATATCAACACCCCCGCCCTGGTTGGCCTACTATGGGCCTGGCCTGTTCAGACAGGCGCCTGTATACTACTCTTCAAGCCACGCTAACAAATGTAAATTGTTTCTTAGCTAGCATATTACTTTGCCCTCCCTTAAAAGCATTAATACATCTCACCCAGGTAGCCCGACCATACTTCGTCGCCCTAGGCACCACGCCCCTGTTTGGAGTTCCCTTTTGGGTACGGAGCGTGGCTTACAAGCCTTACAGTGGGTATTCGAGGGCTCTTTTGGCTGGGGAGGACTAGGTATAGGCAAGGCATGAATAGCTATAGCGCAGTTGGCTGAACAAATTGAACAACTAGCCAACAACACTGCAAAAGGATTTTCCCTGATAAACCAACAAATGCAAGCCACGTCACACATGGCAATACAAAACCGGCTGGCCCTAGATGCCATACTAATACAAGGTGGGCTATGCCAATACCTTAATTTATCCACAACGCATTGTTGTATCAGTATCCCGAACATCTCTGTGCCATTAGAACAACAAATGGAAACAATAAGAAAGATTGCAGCAGATACGGATAAGGTCTCCGAATTGGGAAAAGGATGGTTAGCTGATTTCTTTAGTTGGATAGGATGGGATACATCTTCCTGGCTCATTCATTTGTTAACTCCCCTTATCACTGTGTTATTACCGTTTATAATGATTGCGCTAATTATTTGTATGGGATGTTGTGTTGTACAATTAATCAAAAACCGTTTGGTGAAGTTATCCGCTTTCGTGTATACCCGTTTGTCGGAATTTCCTGAAGCCGACGAGTTCGTGGACGAAGAAGCCATCTAAACAAACCCGTGCATCTATTGTGCCATGAGCAAGGAGGCATGTCATACACGAGTCCCTGGAACAGTTAAATGCCCATGTCACAATAGATTGAGCGAGCAGTAAAACCCCACGCCGAGCAACTGTCATTGCCACCTAATATGGGCATATCCTGCGTCAACAATCCGGTACCATACCTGGTGGTGCGTCATTGGTTAACCCGCCTTATAAAAGCCCGTTTAGTTTCTGCCCGAGCCGGAGACCTCTGGAAAACCCCTAAGAGGCAATCAGCGGACTGATCAACCCCGACATCTCCCGGTCAACGACCGGCCCGACGTACCCCTTCTCTGGCATGCTCGCTGCGTTCACGAACTTGTCGACTCGTCGTGTTACGTTAACTGTAACTCAGCAAGTACTCCTCACCTACGCCAGTGTCATCAGAGGCGTAAGTAAAATTTCTTTGTAACCAATACGCTGTCTCGGCCTCTCCATCCACTCGCCTGCCTGATGGCCTCACTTCGCTTACTGGCCCCGCTCTTCTGGACACTCCCTTTTTTTGTCCCCTGGAATCAGTTAAAGGCTTGAATCCCACCACCGCCCACAGTGGCAGCCCACAGCTAAAAGCACGTGGCCCAAGTTGCCAAATAGGTTTGTGTTCCAAATGAATAAATGTGAAGAGCAGGAGAAATACTGTGAGCATGCATGGCCCAGCTGTGCTGTGAAGGAAGGAGTTACGCCGGTGTACAGTGTGCTGCAGGGATATGGGGTGAGCCACCCTCGGGGGCAGGAGGAGGAAAGGGGTTCAGGGGTTTACGGTATGTAAAAAGCAGGAGAAACGTTGGGGTGCTGCCCAAGGGTTTTTTGGAACTGCATTGCAAACACTGGGAACAGTCCAAAAAAATAGTATTTTCTAAATTAATCTGAACATTGAACTGCTGGACCAGTAAAGATTTGCAAGAATCACACCTGGTGTCTTGTAGCTGCATTGCAACAGACAGTCCGGGGATTTCCCAGTGAAGCTAAGTGGAACCTGGCGGAGAAATCGTTGCAGAGCAGGGGCAATGCCATTTTTGGCCGTATGTCGGATACACGTTGAAAAACTATTATGATAAAAATAATCCTGTTGACACAATTTCCCATGCTAAAAATAAAACACGTCTAAGGTGGCTTAAGTACAACGATAAAAAAAGACTAACACGATAATCAAGGTCAAAATGTGCATCTTCAGACTATATTAAGCTAGTGAAATGGTGATTTGTCATGTGTATGTAGGAAAAGCGCTACATGGACAAGCACCCCAAGTTACACTACTGAAGCTTAGGAGGCTCCAGTCCTGCCCACATGAAACAGCAGCCCTTACAAAGCAGTAAGAGCTCTCCACTGGTGTATAGTCTTAAGTAAAGCTACATATATAACAAGAGAAACCTTTAAAAATTTGGGATAGTTGGGGAGTGATTGTTTTCCTTTCAGGAACCCCTAATGTGAGGCTATCCAGCTGGAGAAGGTGAGAACTCTCCTTGTTCTGCAAGTCCTGAATATCTTTCCCCCTCGAGGCTACCAGGTCTCAGAAAAGGCATGTGTGCATTCCCAAGGCCTAAAGAGACAACAAGTGGAAGGGCTCATGGAGGGAAACAAGGGAATGACTGAAAGACTAGAAAAACAAAACAGCAAAGAAGGGGAATACCTAGTACAAGGCTTGAAAATGAATTATTAAGCGAGAAGAACAACGTTTACTTCATCTGATATTTTATAATAGATGTTTTAGAAATAAAGCAGCAAATGGAACATTAAAAAACAGCAACATATAAATTCAAGGCATTCAATACAAGGCAGGGAGCATGCTGGTTATTGCAGCAGTGAATCTGGAGAAGATATAAATCAGCAAAATGACCAAAAGGAACACCCCCAAACCCCCAAATGCAGCATTCTGGAGGCTGCCTGCCCAGATTAAGTTGTTACAAGTTCAGTAAAAGAAAAGAAAAAAAAAAAAAAAAGGAAAAGTCCCATTTCACTCCAGTCACTAAGATCTTTGCAAGAACAAGCACAGAAAAGTAGCTGAATAACCAGCATTAAATAATAAAACAGTACTTCAGGATCTAATCTTCCTAAATCCAAAGGAACTGAAGTCCCATGCGCGCGCTTACAACAGACATTTCAATTAAGATCATAGAAAACTGTTAAAAACGGGGCTTCTAGACATATATCTTGAAGTGATCATTAGAATAAATGGACAAATTGTAGCAATTTAGTTTAAAAAGGCTTCCCACTTGCACCAGAAGTTCTGGTATTCATTTCCTAGGACAAGGCTTTTCAAAGCACCCTCACTTTGCGACATGAGTATTAGCTGCATCACTGCACACAGCTGCTTGCAGGATTGCTTGGGAGAATCCATCCACTTCCTCGTTAGGGGGAGGAGCTCTCCACCTCTTTATGACATCGTCTCCGTGGCAACATAGCCATGACACTGCAACTGACAACACACGGTGGGCATGCTGCAATCTGAGCCCTCTGCTCCAGGCATGCAAGTTGTTAATGGCCGGGTAGAAGAGCAGGGACAACCTGCCTGACTCGTGTTCGATCAAGTACAGATCACCCCTGTGCTTTTTGGGATAAAAATGGATAACTGCTTTGTGGAGGAGGTCGCTGCATCTGTGGTGAGAGAATTTCTCAGTAGAAAGGTAAAATTTGTCTCCTTTTACTCCGGTTAATAAGATCTTTGAAAGGTTAACAAAATAACCCAGTCATCTGAAGGCTTGAGATGCTGCAAGGGGAGCGCCGAGGCTGTTTTCTAGTAATTTTATTCTGAACTGTTAACACCAGCCATCAGCAATCGAGAGATGTGAGACTACATTTCCCACAAAACATTTCTTTAACAGTAACACTTCGAATACAACAGATACCTTCAAAGAAAGGGGAAAAAAAACAAAACCCAACAACTTTTGCATAGTGAAAAATAAATCTTTTGCTGAAAAGGGCTGTTTTTGAATCTATTGATGCCTCTAGAAATTAAGATATCAGATGATGTAATTTAAGACATTCCCTGGCAAACGTTCCTTCTGTTCTTGCGCACGCTCAACACTGCACGCTTCTCTAACCTAATTCAGAGAGTCGCCGATGAGGAAGCAAAAAGAAAAAAAAGTATAACACAACTTTTTATTAATAATGATGCTTTAAAAGTGACACCTTAGATTGAGAAAAAAATGTTTTACTTTTCAGAAAGTCACACCCATCACCTTGGAAAGCACCAGACGTTTAGACAAAAATGACTAAAACTTCCAGAAAATTTTAAAGAGAGATACCTCACACAAAGCATTATATGCAGCATTCCTGAAGTTATATTTTTAGGTTCATTCAGCTTCCAAGTCTGCGTATACAGACTAGAGCTAACATCCTATCAGCAATTACTAGGCAGGCCTGCATTGGGCTTTACATATATTCTTCAATTTGCAATATTCCCTCCATATGCACTTCTGCTGATGAGCTCTAGCATATGCCAACTGAAAGATGCCACCTGCAAATGTTATACCTTCCACACTGGAAGTTACTAATTTGCTATGTTCCCTACAACCAACAGTCGCTGCTTACTTGAACCAGGATCTTCATGAGCAAATGGCACTTTTTAAGGTTAAAAAAGTACTTTGGCACAAAATTAAAATGGCAATTTAAACACAGTTGTATTGCTAAAATGTGACCAAGCTTCTTCCCCCAGCACCTATTTCATATAGTCTCTGATTTCATTCTGCCATGAATGAAAATACATATTGTATCAAAAAAGAAGGCTATTTTTGCAATAGTTTTGTTTTTTAAAGTGACATTCCTTAAACATAGATTTAAACTCAGAACTATAGGTCCTGCAATCATTCATTAGCAAATCTCACCCCTACATGTGTCTTGAAGCCTGGTGGATTTTTAAAAAATAAATCCCATTTGCAGGAATAGGAACTTTATTTCCTACAAATGTGTAATCTGCTTTACTGTATTTTAAGTTCAACTTTTCCCTGGTTAACCCTGAACTTAGCATCTCATTTCACTGCAATGTTGCACTGAGGTTTAAGGAAAAAAATACATGTAACATTTAAATGCAAATGTAGTATTTGAAGCTGGTAGCACTGTCATTTTTGTGATGAGCTCAATGCAGTAAGACTGAGGTTTGCTTTGCCTTATGTAGCAATTTGCTGGCCTTTGCTCAACGCACAAGTGGAATTTTACATTCAGCTACTGAGCAGTACTGATGTAAGGCATAAAGAAAAAAAATGAGAACGTAAAATGTGGCTTAAAACAAACAAGTTTGAGATTAAATCCAATCTGGAGAATAGCACTTAAAGTTTATACTGTCTGCTGCAGTGCATCTAAAACAGCCTTTTTTCCCCCCCTCTCTCAAGGGTTTAAAAAAGACTATGGCCACCATGGACCAGGAATTTCCACGCTCTGCTCTTAGCATCAACAACAGAAATGAACTCAGAAATGTTCTCCATATACAGTCTCTGTACAAAGAAAACAAGGTAAGAAAATTGAGTTTTGTACCAGACCAACCAATGCCCTTATAGGGTCACAGCCTTATGTCTACAACTGTGCTGAAAATGCTAGTGAAATAAGGACAGATGAAAATGAACTCTTCATGCTTCTGCACAGGGCCCGATCATGTTATTCAGCTCATGACTTTGCGATATGGTATTTTCAGTCCTGATCCTGTAACATAGTTCACTAACAATTCAACAATCAAAAGTGGCCACTGGAATTTGCCAACTACTGTCCTGTTAAATCCATGTATTGCTCCCTATATTTCAAAATATCCATGTATTTGATTCTGCTTGACACTTTTCTTTTAAAAGCTTGATAGCAACTGAGGAAAACTAGATGCTTCATTTCTACTTTTATAAATTATATTTAATCTTCCCCCTCCCAACAGGCCAAGGAGAACCCACTGAAAACAACTCTAGAAATGATGACAAACTATTTCCTTGAACATTTTGGAAGCGTGAGTAGCATCATTTCAAATTCTGTGGCATCACTTCCTCCGAATAAACCCTCCTTCGTCAGTACAGCAGACTACTCCGAAGACGACATGCGTGGGAATACAATACGATCTGATGCATTTAAAACTGAAGCCTACAGGTACAGTCTTTTTGCCTTTACCGTAACCCCTACAATTATTTCCAATTTCTAAGAATGCAGATTCAGTTCCCACCTTCAGGTTGCATGCATTTTTACTAGCTACACAGGACAACCAACTTTAGATAACTACATGCTAGCAATAGCATCCTGCCATCAGTGCAGAAACGCCAGCAGGACCAATGCTAAAAAAAGTCATCCTTTAAAATTGTGGGGTGCTCTTGACTGCACTTTCTGCTGCTGCACTTATAGCATTTGATAGTATTACCTCTACTCATTTAAATCATGCAAGACAATTACAAGTCATCATCTGACCCCAGTTCTCTTTCCTGCCTGCGGCAAGGAGCCAGACTTGATCTACTGAAGTCCCTTCCAACCCAAATATCTATGCATGTGTGAATTTCTAGGATTGGTGGGAGTTTTGAATGTGAATAGCTGCCACTTGAAGTAGGAATAAACATTTGAAAAAAAAAATATATATATATCTAACATAGTATATGTAAAAAAAGGTGTGGTTTGCACCTCAGTCTACTACACTTAAGTTTACACAGCACTATTTCTATCCAGAGATATCTACATAGCTAGCTGACAAACTCATCGTGTGTAAGCACATTCAATGATCAAGTCAGGCAGAAATTCATAGGTTTCTAAAAAAATATGTTGTCAAAGGCTTATCAAAAATCCTCTTCCCATGTATAAGGCCTTTGCAAGCCCCGGATGACCGCCTAGCCATGCACCCGAGCAGGCTGAAGCAGCCCCGGACTCTCTTGCTGCAGCTTTCTAATAACCCACTGGCACTAAAATACTGCCTTGCTCATCCCTGCTGCAAGACTAGCAGCCAGAGGTATGAAATGCTGCATTTCTTTGCAGCCTGGTGCAAGCCCCTTTTTTTGTTTGTTTTTAAGTAGGTCGATCTCATTATTCTTTCTTTAAATATAATATTGCTTTAACTAGTTATCAGTCTCTCCCTGGTATTGAAATCAGCTCTGAAACCCCGCGCGCTGCCGCCCCCTGAGCTGCACAGGTCTTGCGCAGCGCCCCACTCTACTGCCTGGTGTCCCGCCCTCGCCCTGCCTTATATAGACTCGCCCGCGCCGCGCATGCGCAGCGCAGCACACGCGCCCCAGGGGAAGTGGGAATGCGTGACCAGTGAGAGGCCACCCTGGGGCAGAGTGGCACCGGCCACAGGAAGTGAAAGGGTTTTGCGCTCTTCCTGCAGCTCCCCTGTGGAACTCTGTGGTCCTGAGCCTCCAGAGCCCGGGCATGCGCAGTTCTTCCCTGTAGGGGGAGAGGGGGAGAACGGAGTGGGAAGTCGCGTTCTTAAAGACACACACGCATGCACGCGTAGCTCAGCCCCTGCGCTGGGGGATGCAGACAGGGGATTCCTTCTGCTCGCTGCCCACTCTTCAAATGCCCCTTCCCTGGGGGCAGCTGGAGAAATTAAAGGGTTTGCACCATGCAAAAGGGTTTGCACCATGCAACTGGCAGCGCCCCAACAGCCTGGGGGTGGGTGCAGAGCAAGCCCCCTGCAGCCCCCGGGGGACTTGCTCCATCTGTGCCTTGGGCTGAGATGATGCTATGATGTTCCCTTCCAATAAAAAAGGGATTTTTTTTTGCCTTTGATAAGTACACCCTGTGTGCTTTAAACCCAAAAGGAGTTTAACAACAAGCATGAAGGCTTGTATTGTTATGTTACAGGCTTGCTCCCCACTCCTGCCACCAATGCTTTCTAAGACAATCTCATGATTTCTGCAGCTCTTGATGCAGCCCTGGACTTGACCGTACTGAAAAGGCCTTGCAATAAGCAGACAGACCAGAAGGCTTTACTACAGATTGGGGGGGAAGTGCAAGAAAAAGCAAGGGACATCTACTGCTCCCCTTCTTTTAATGCTCTCTGTGGTCTGGCACAATGGCACAAGGAGCTTAATGGGCTTTATGCTTTTCTGTGAATCATCTAGCATTAGCTTAGGTCGTGGAGAGAAATCCTGGCCCTAGCAAACTCAGTAGTGTTGCTATTGAATTCAGTCGAGCCACCATTTTCTCCTTGTATGAGAGACCAAAAGTCTTGTACTGGATAACTTTTATTGGACCGATAGTATGGTTGGCATATATTTTGAGTTTTGGTATCACAGTACAGCTCCTTGGGACTCTGGGAAAGAACTGGGCATAGCAGGACTAAACAGTAGATGGGCCAAGGACTCATAAAATCCCACGGGCGAATAAAATGAGGACGTAAAATAAATTATCAGGTAGCCAACAGACAAGATGTGTTATAACAACTTGATGTACCTGGCTTTTATTTACAGAAATCTCTTGGTCTGCTATTTAGCAGAGTTTTACACAAGCCCTTGTTCCATTTAGCTCTGTTGTGCCTGCCTCTCCCAGAGATACAAGGAAGTGTATTATAATACCCGGAAAGCTTTTCCAAACCTATCCCAGCTGTGCAGTTGGTTCAATGCAAGATATCACCAACAAAAAATAATTGCCTCTCAAAAATTACCTGGACCGTAGTGGCTACATGACCTCAGCACTATCAAATTCCTCCTGAATTAACTTCTTTCTGAGTAGTCCTCGCTGGCTTCTGTGGAGTTGCTTTTAAAAAAAAGTTAGGCAACCTACACTTTTTTTTTCTAAAATATGGGTACCCCAGACATCCTGTGACTCAATAAGGAGTCAGAGAACCTTTTGGAGCGCAGTATTAGCAAGGTATACAAAAATCACAAAATTATAATGGAGAGCGGTAGTTAACAATGGGCACATATACAAGTTGCCATACGGCAACGTTGCTGCGGCACCATGCTTCAGCACGTCCTTTTGGAAGTAGTAAAGCACGGCGCAGTAAGTGCCCATGCTGTGCCGTATGGGTGGTGCACGCATTGCTACATTGCTGTAGGGTGACGTGTAGATGCACCCAATGTTAGTCTGAAGTTAGACTGCATGGCATCTTATAGACTACCTTGTCCAGAGAGGCATAAGCTTTCGTAGGCTTTCATCTACTTTGTCAAATGCTGCCATAGCCCATGAAAATTCATGCCTTTCTGAACAAGTAAGTCTATAAGGCGCCATGCTTTCTTCCTATAATTATAATACGTAGGAAGGAAACACTTTTAAAACTCTTTTTTTCTGTATCTTGTGCGGGCCGGGAGCGGTCTGGGCCCTTTTTCGCGCCGCGCGGGCTGTGGCCAGCAGCCCGGGCACGCTGGGTCGGAGAGAACAGGCGACACGCTGGAATTAGGCATGGACGCGTAATGGTTGATTTAAGATTATTTACTTACACCGAAGATGGTCGCGGTGCAGGCAGGAAAACTTGCTTGAGTTGCAGTTGCAGATAGAAAAGAAGAGAGGCGGACTAGAGTTCCTTCCCGTGAACACTCTTCTAGCCCATCCGGTTGGAGGCTCTAAACCGCGAGCCCGTCGCGCCAACCGAAGAAAGTACTCGAAGAAAAGAGCTCTGAATAGACTCACATGAAGTTTGCTAGGCTCCGTGGAACTTGTGCATGCAGGGAAGAGGGATGCGTCGAGGATTGCGCTCGGCGACGGGGAGAGGCTAGAGGCTGATCAGACCCCTGTTGCCTTCTTGATATTCACGCTGGGTCCAATAGGCTCCGCAGCGCTTAGAGATCTTCTCGAGACGTGAAGTCTCCTCCTCCTCCTGGTGTTCGTGGAGTCCTCCAACTTGGGCAGAAACCACTCAAGCTTTTTATACGGCTAGCAAGCCAATCACTAGCCGCCACGTGGGAATAATTTAGAACTAGCCAATGGTGGGGCACAAATTTGAATACGAATGGCGGGAACTCCTTGCAACGTGCATTTCTGTGCTGCAACAAAGAAATGCACCCTGCAAAGAAAGCTACTGGTGGTGGGAATTCTTTTGCACCGGGGTTTTCCTCTGCAGCAGAAAACTCCACCGTGCAAAGAAGCTGCAATTTAGCGGGAACAATTTAGCAGTGCCGAAGCACTCACAAAACAAAAATCACACCCTTGGGTTGTGACATATCTCAAAATCATTCAGTCTTACATCAAATAAGAAAATCATGACAAGTGATGAAGGAGTGAACATTCTTCTTAGTAAGTTATTTCCTGTATAATTCACGTTAATTAATAATATAAACAGGTCCTTGTTTAAATATTGAAAGGCTATAAGTAGATATTTTGAGATGTTGCTAGACGTTTTGCTGATTGCTCCTACCATGTAACTCCGCTATAGTAAATAATCTTTTATTGATAGTATTTGCGTATCATTTTATTTCTTGAATGTATGCTCCTTTTTTTCCCCCCTTATAGATGTGAGATTGATGACCTGCTTGATAAAGTCATTCCATCCCGGAGACATCATCAGAAAAGTGAGAAATCCAACACTGGGATAAGTCCAAATAGTAGCTCATTCTCTGAAGGGGATAAAAAGTTTAAAAACAGCATGGAGGATTTAAAAATAATAAGAAATTCTGAGGAGATGAAGACCACAATGAAAGAGAAGCAAAGGTCTAGGTCTAGTCTTATTCTCAGAGGAATGATGGCTGGACCAACAGCGAGTTCACAAGAGGTGATTTTTCAATACCTGAATATATAAAACAGTTGATTGATACTAAGGATTAACATATTCAGTGAGATAGGTATTTAACATAACAGAAAGACTGCTTTTACAACAAAAGACTAAATTCAGATGCTGTATTTATGAAGGAATTTAAATAAATGATTAGAGTTAATTCATTAAGAAACCTCTCAGATGATTTAGAATCACGGAGGACTATCCAGTCGTAATAATTAATCATCACCGCAGCTCTGTGATGTTTGCTTATATGATACTTGTGCGTGTTTGTTTTACTTGTTACCTTTTATCTCTTTAAGCCGGGGATTTTAAAGGGTCATAAAGGAGATGGGCACAAATTTTATTGAATTTCAGTGGAAATGAGTACATGAGTTCCTTAGGTTTCTTTGCAAATTCCAGCCTCTGCCAACCAATATTTTGGTTCAAAGAATTACATTTTAGCTAACTTATTTCTGGGTTTTGTACTGTTCCCCATCAGCACATATTCTTGAAAAAGCAGCTACGTATTTTTTCCCTTTCGTTCCATGTTGTGTTAATGAGAAGTTGATGTAAGTAAAGGGTGAAGAATTCAGCCCCAAATTATTAGTAACAGAGAAAACTCAAAGGATTAGTTAGACTACCTCATTTCTAGGAAGCTCATAAAGTTTGTATGCATACCTGAATTTGGTCCAAAATTTTTTGGCCTGGCAATGAAGTCAGGTGCCTTTGAAAGAGAAGCTTTTTGATCATGTTTTCTGGACCTTCTGATTTCATGTGAGATGGGTTTAAGCTCAAGAACCAGCTCTTATATTTTGTTTCTGCTCCCGGATGAAAGAGGGAAGTGCAAAAAACACCAAGTCTTCTATAAAATTGAACCCTGGGACTATCACAGTTTTGGATGAAGGTTCAAGCCAGCTCTTTTTCTGTCAAATACCTGTCTCCGATGAAAACAGAATCCCTTATATAACCCACTAGTTTAAGTATTAATGCTCTCTGTTGAGGTAAAGATCTGGTATTTTTAGTAATTAGTTATTTTCTTTATTGGCAACTTATTGTAGGATTCGCTAAAAAGGAGACCTCTGAAGCAACGATCTTCTAGCATAAGTAGCACACTACAGTTCAAAGGGGAATACAGTCATTCTTCGAATCTGCCAAATGGCGATTTTCAGGAGAGCAAAGTGACTTCTGTACAGTCCATAGGTGACCTCTGTCCGCACAACGACAGTGCCATGAAAGCAGACATGGAGCTTTCATCCAAGACTTCGTCAGGCTCGTACAGGTGTTCAGCCACGGAGGAAATCAGAAATATCCCTGAAGACACAGACGACCCGTTTGCCAAGCTGCTGTCAGAAAGAGAGAGAAGCCGAGTTGGAGAGAGGAAATCGATGCCGAGCTTTGATACAGAGCCGGGTGAAAAAACCCTCAAATTAAATATGTTTCACAGGTATTCTGGATCTGGAAGGGAGAAAAGAGAAAGGTCCCTCAAAAAGAATGAGAGTCAGTTACCAGGCCCCAGGTAAGATCATTGGAGAGCTTTGAAAAATTCTTGTAAAAATGCAATTCTGCAAAGTCCAGGAAGACTTGCAATTAAGCAACAATGGTGTATAGAAAGCTGAGCTATGATTCCCGAAACTCAGATGGGTTATCTCATGCCTCTTGGTTAGTATAACTGGAAGGGAAGACAAAGAGTAGCACCAGCCGCATCAGAGGCACAAAAAGAAGTGGCTTGTCATGTTTGTAGGGAGATGATACCCACCCTCTCCACTCCGTTACATATTCCCCTCAAGGAACCTTGATCAGAATAGTATCGCATCTCAAAAAAGACATGCAACCCAAAGGGATTCTTGGGAAAATGAGGGAAATGAGAAGGGGGCTGATTCCTGGCTCTTCCACTGGAAGAGCTCCCAAAAAAGTGTTACAAAGAAGGCCACTGTCATTGTCCCCATTTTACAGATGGGGAAACTGAGGCAAGTGAGAACATGCAGTAAATCAGTGGTAAAGCTAAGGGTGGAACTCAGGCATCGCAAATCTCCGTCGGGTACTTTATCCACCAGGTTGCAATCGAAACACTTGTGTAAGTGCTAAAAAGGGTGGGTGTCAGCAACTCTTTAAACTACTCAGTCATCAGTACAAAATAGCATTAGGCCCCTGAGTTTGAAAAAAGTTAGATTTATGACAATAGCGGCCAGGATGATGGATTGATTTACAAAAGCTCCAAGGGAAATTACATTCCTTCAAGGCCACAGCATTACCAGACGTAGTTCCAGGTCCGCATGCAATATTTTGCAATGGAGAGCAAAGGTTAAAAAGTGCCGTGCACTAGAAGTGCAAATTTATTTTGAGACAGCAATTTAAAGGATTACCAAATCTGAGAAGAGTATGTATGCTCACGGTACGTGTAAGATAATAGATGCAGAACAGACTACTGTTATATAGCACTACTTTGTGCAGTGTAGACCAATAATGCTCATGCCAGATTAGCACGCAATTTGCTTAACTGCACAGCACACCACCAGTCATGTCAGTGCCTATTGCTTCCACGCTAACAAGCATTGGTTGTCCTCATATCAGTGGAGGGCATAAGCTAGCTGCATCTTTTGGCCCCACTCTCTGCTTCAGGAAACTGCACGAACTTCAGCCGTCTCTAAACATCTGCCCACAAAGAGGAGCTCTGCAGCTTCCCCGAAACATTTACAAATGTAGGCTCCTGCGAATTTTGGAAGGCAGAGGAAGTAAAACTGCAGGAAAAACAGTTATCGTGAGGCTGTTATTAGAAGCCTTGAAAAGGAGAAGTGGTTGTTAATGCCAGGATTGCTATCTCCCCTCGTCTGCAAGGCTTCTAACAAGAACCCCCAAAAAGCATCTTAGAAGCCTTGAAAATGTCCGGAGCTGCCACTGTCGTATCACAGCAGTGATGGAGCTGTGCACCGGACGGGCATTGTTTGCATCACGTGTGGATACGAGCATGCGTGCAGGCCACAGGCGCTCTTTCATTTCCACCTGTAAGAATGTCTACAGAATTGTGAATTTCTGTGAAATTCTTACGGGCAGAAAAATAGCCTTGGAGCTGGAGCATACATGCCTTCCTGCTTCCTGATGGGAGAGATACACAGGGGAGATTTGCAGCCAGTCGGCACTAAGGAGCAGCCCCCGGGGTCTCCTCTGCCCTTCGGGGAGGGAACCCTGTCCTCTCCCCCGCCTAGCAAGGGAGCAGGCTGTCAAGTGGCCGTGGGCAGCTATTGCAAAGCAGCAGCCAGCCCAGGAGGGTTTGAACTGTGGGAGAATGCCCCCCACCTCCATCCTGCCACCCAGCTGAATGGTTGGGGGGTGAGGGTGGCATTCCCCCATGGGAGGTCTTCCTGTGGTTCTCCCCTCACCCCCACAAAGGAGAAGAGCCCCTGCTCCTGGCACTGCTCGGGGCAACCTGGAGGTGGGGGGCAATCTCCTGCCCCAGCACTGCTCCCTGAGTGCAGGGAGCCTGCCAGCTGTGGCACAGCTGTCTCCTGCCCCAGGGGATAGTTCTGCTTCTAGAAATGCCCCCCTCTCATGCTGATCAGCTGATTGATGTGGGAGGAGGATGATCCCCTGCAGGGTCATCACAGGGCTCCCCGGGAGCTCATCCTTGGGCAGGCTATCATGAAACACATGCTATCCCTTCTTCCCTCTCTCTTGGAGAGAGGGAGGGAGAGCAGAGAGGACTGTGGGACACTGGATGTCCTCCACACCTGAGAGAAGCGGACCGCTGTTCAAGTCAGACCTTCCTCCTAGGGACCTGATCCAACTACTTTGGGAAGAGCCAGTTCTCTTCCGCAGGGAAGCCCTTGAATGCCTGTGCCAGGAGGAAGGTTTGGCGCCCAGCACAAGTGCAAAGCTTGTAGAGCCTCTTCTTCCAGTCCTGAGGCTTTGCTCTTAAATGCGGCGTGCCCTCCTGTCTTAAAAGGATGGTGGAGCTGAATAAATCCTGTTCCAGCCAACAAATCACATAACTTCAGGCCCCCAGTGCTAGGCTCGGTAGCAGCTGCCATGCAAAAGCAGCCTCGGTGGGACGGAAACAAAAAGTGACAGCCATCCCGATAGGGGATGGGTCTTTTTTGCCCGGTCCTGTGTATCAGCTGTCACACTACAAGTTTGATTTCTGTGCCAGTTTGCAGATAGGACAGCAGAGGGAGCTCCCTCATTAACAGAGAGCCTTCCCTTGGATCCGTATTAGAGTTGTCCCAGGTCACTCTGGCTAAACCAGGGAAGCATTTTAGGCACCTTCTGAACTTTGAGTGCGTGAGTAACCTCTTTGAAACCAGTGGGACTGCTCAGCTGCTTAAACTTATGCAGTCACCTAAATGCTTTGCAGGGTTTGGCCAGAGCAGAGCACTCAACACTGCAAGATGAAGCTCCCTCATTGCAGCCGCCGGCATTTATTTGAGTGCAAATTCCACTCTCTTCTTCCCCTGCAGGTCTCTTGACATTGGTGTTTACGATGGCAGAATCCAACCCTGCTAGATTAATATCTGAAACTTTATGCAGGGTTGGCCATAGCCAGTTCAGCCACAGGGATCAGTAATCTTTTTTCTCATAGCGAAGGAAAGACATTCCTGTCTTATTTTTCATTCCTGTTTTTCTTTTCCTTTGCAACCCCGGTTTGCAATTTTCAAAGGTTTCTATTATTATTCACAAGCCCCAGGCATCTTTTGTCTGCACATATATTTGGCAAAAAACTACGAGGCAAAACCACAGCATTGTTTCAAAGCAGTATCTGAATATCAACGAACAGCCGCGAAAACGGAGCAGAGAAAAACAACTGGTTATGAAAGTCCACTGGGGAAATCCAGATGGCCCATGATTTTGACTCCCATATTTAAGGGAAGGATGAACACAATAGTCGGGTTGCTATTTTGCGACCCATCAATACATCTTAAATAAAGCATCAATTGGGTTAAATGGGAAGCTATTAATTAACAGAAGTCATTTTTGTAGTACTGTAATTACAGTACAAAAACAAAATTAGACCACTTTATTTCATGGTCTATATAGGAGTTTGTTCTGACTAAGAATTACAGTCTCTTTTTATAGATAGCCAGGTAGACTATTAAATTGAGGAGACATTTAGGTTTCTGGTATGACCAAAATCAAATGCCGAGTGGCGCATACCTGTATGAGGAATGCTGAACTGACTAGCAAGAAATTTTTTTGGGGGGGATGCAAAACAAAGGCAGGTTTAGATGTTAGTATTGCAGCTGGTAAAGTTACTTGTTACACACGCCCTCACAAAATAATTGCCTCAATGTAGTGAAATCAGGCAGAAACCACAAATATGAATGTGGGGTTTATTAAAATGACTCTATTGAGGCTCTCAGGATTGAAATGTGCTGTTCTAGGTCTTATAAAGTTTCCAAGCATCCACAAGAACCACAATTTAATACAGTTACAACACGGCCGTTGTGAGAAAATATTGACTCTTAAAGGGAGACAGCGCTTCTTCACTATATCCCAGCCTAACAGTGCATCCCAGAGTAGATATATTGTATTATCAACATATCATGATTTTGCAACCTCCCTGTAGTCACAGAAGTTAGAGATGGAAAATACCTCTGGTTCACATAATGTCTGTCAATGTAGTGTTTGGCTGTTACTCTACAGAGGAAAGGGATACTTCTGCGTTTCTCCAAGCCAAGGAACATGAATTGCGTGCAGTTAATTCACTTTCTGGATCAGTGAATTGTATTCTACGCCAGTGACGATTTGTTTTATAAATGCAGCTTTACATCCTTCCACTGCTTTGCCCAATCTGCGGGCACGCTTGTAGTAGTTTCATGTACAAAATGCATGCCTTGTCTTCACAATTCTCGCTATTTTGGGGGGTGGAATCCTAGAAAGGAGGGAAATGATAGGTAGGTGGCAGCAGATCTTCGTGAATCTTGAGTTACAAATAATCGCCAGCAAATCCAATTCCTTAACTCACTCCGTTCTATGCATAACACCATATAGGACATGTTGTTGAGGAAAGTCACTGCTTTGGTCCCAGGAAGGCCTTTGCACAATAAGTTCATATAAGGACAGACATTCATCGCGACTTGAGTAGCTTTAGGTCAGGAACATATGACATATTACAGGAATATGGTTGCTGATCATTTACCTATAGTAATAGCACTTCTGTGGCCTGCTTACGCTTCCCTTTTCTCCCAAAATAGTACGTTTCATGATATAATAAAGGAGTCAAGGTTACTACTATGCCTTCTAGTCCTCTATGCCACCCAAAATCCATCAGGTTGGGGGCTGTGGGCTGACAGCTGAAGGCTTGCATTTATTGATCCACTCATTTTGCCGCACCCCGAAAATCCTTTCCATGGGAGTGCAGATGGATGCCTTGCAGTGTTCAGCTCCAAGGTATCTAGGGAGTTAGGACTTTTGGACCAAGTGTTTCTACTCCCTTAAGTTAGGCACCAAAGCCACTAATGTTCTGCTGTGCTTAGGATATCCATCTGCCCATAACTGAATAAGTAAGAGTTCAATAGCCTTTCT